CTCTCTCTCTCTCTCTCTCTCTCTCTCTCTCTCTCTCTCTCTCTCTCCTCCTTTCTCTCCTCCTTTCTCTCCTAATCTGACGCATGGAGTTGATGCAAGGTTGTGTTCTGTTAGGGGAGCAGGGTAAATCTCTTACACAACACCCGTCTGCATGAATGAATGCATGGGGGTGGGGCAGCTGTTTGCAAAGTGTGTGTGTGTGTGTGTGTGTGAGTGAGAGAGAGTGTTTTGAGGGAGTCAGGTGGATGTGTGTAATGAAGTAAGACTGCACCATGCAGATCCTCAGTATATGAAAACAAATGTTTTTTTTTGTCAGGTTGATGTTTTGGAAAATGTCCATTAAAATATTTTCCATGTGATGCAATCGTGCAGCCGTAACAACGGTGCAGAAATGCGTCTCCATTTTCCACTCATCACATGCCTTCAATAAAGTCCTGCAGGGCTGATGTATTTGTGTGTGCCAACCCAGAGGTTAGCATCTGTTCATTACAACACTGAACATTTTTTGATGGGTGAAAATGTTTGAAACACTGTAAATTTAAGATTTTTCCTACAAGTGAAGCTAAAAACTGGACTCAAATTGTACCACTCTAATCTGTATTTGAGCTTTAACTGGAGTTTAATGCTAACATGCTAACTCTAGCATGTTAACAAGCATTTTACCAACTAATGGATGTTGAGACATGCTGGTATTTGTTATGTAGATTTTCGACATGTTAACAGTTACACGCCTCCACTGTGTATAGTGACATAGTATTTGAGCAACTTAAGAATTCCTAGCATGCCATGCTAGCATTAATCTCAAAGTACATTAAAGATCGCAGGGAGTCGTGAAACGATAACAATTTTAAAGGAAAGTCAGTAAATATGAGCATCATCAAAACACACCGTTGTATTTTTAGAGCCTCGCTGGAAGGACTTTTCCTTCTGCTGAGGGGAAAAATCTCAACAATCTGTAATGTCAATCTGTGTCAGTGTAAAACTCTCTTCCTCTACCTCACACTGTCTGCAGCATGCCGGCTCTACCAGCTGTGCCCTTCTGTGTTTAGGGATGTAGGGACGGAGGGAGGCGGACGGGGGTGTGGGTGGCCTGTGGAGGACTTTGGATTGGTGGAGAGCAAAGCTGCTCATTGTTACATCATCAGCTCCACAACAACACTAAAACTAATTTGACCTCGACTGGCTTCCACGTATCTCAGAGTCAGTAATAATTTAGAAGTCCGTTTCTAAATTTAGCAAAAGTACCCCATGTATAATCCATGTAGACTGTGCATGCACGGGACAATTACAGGGAGAACCACATTTAATTATGTTCTTTAATTTCGTAGATGAAGAACATCAAAAGAATACTTTCGGAATCGAAAACATTCAAATTTCATGTGGCATTTAATGCTTTTTATCAAATCGATTTTGTTACATTGTGTCACAGCTGGTACAACAACCTGCTTTGTCCTTTACGTCAGACTTGGAGGTTTTACTGCAGCACTAACAACAGGCTGGAGGATTACTGTGTCAGACAGTAATCTGAAGTGGTGAGGGAGCAAATCCCAGCAGCCAGGTCCCAACATGTTGTGGAAAGGCTTCGCAGATGTCTGGAGGCTTTTATAGCAGCACTTTAAGAAGTTAGCAAACTATACAGGATCACCATAGACAAGGGTGTCTATGAGAGGGTGGAGCTAAGTACAACTGAACGCTGAATAAGCCATTCTTAGGTGACAATTAACTTTCATGAACTGAAATCACACTTAAAGAGTTAAAGTTGTAAGACAAAGACTGGACAACGCTGTGGTAGTGACCCGTCAATCAATAAATCACGTGAGAAGTAGAGTCATTTTCTCATAGACTTCCATACAACCAGACTTCTTTTTGCAACTGGAGTCGCCGCCCCCTGATGGCCATTAGACAGAATGCAGGTTTAGGGCACTTCTGCATTGGCTTCACTCTTCAGAAGCGGAGGTTGCTGCCTGGGCGTAGCGCTTACTTAAATGGAAACTTTGCCGATTTTCATGACGTGAGACAAGTCGTTTTGTGTAACGCAGAGGGAAGCTGAATATCATTGCAGACACCAGCTGAAAATCGACAAAGTTGCAAAGAATGCAAAGATCAGTCCACACAATTTAACACCATCAATCTCATCAAATTAGTCAATGAAAATTTGAATGTGGTGTTAAAAACTTTAAATTGAATAAGAAGGCTGCATATGGCCTGTCGTGTTTGGAGCGGCAGCTTCTGCAGAGTTACTAGTGTTAGTTCAAGTCATGTGCCATGACTAGTACATGTTCTAAAATCTGTTTTCTTCTTGTGTTCAGGCTACTGCACCCAAAATGGCTTCTAAAAAAAACCTTGACAAAGACAAAGGAGGCAAACTGATATCAAATCATTTTATAATGTTGAAAATGAATGTCACATAGCCACAAACACAAACAGCTTTGAGCCATTGAGATGCCATTCTCTGATTGTGCCATGAATGATTTGTCACAGGACACAAGACAAACAACAACCGTGCCCATTACAAACCCGCGACCAGCATTACAAAATACACCATCAAACTCTCGTCTGGGGTGCTTCCACCTCATTCAGCTTTACATTCAACACTGTGCTGTGCCAAAGAAAATAAAAAATACACATTATGGCTGAACAGGGAATAGCCGGCTGCTCGCGCGGGCGGGCGGGGCCTCGCATGACGCCTACTCAGATACGCTAATTAGCCGGGTTGCGTGCTACTGTATAAAGTCACTGTGGAGGGGCGCTACAGAGAGCGAAGAGCAAAAACAAGAAAGGACATTTCTGTCATGGGAATAGCGGTTTGGGACGTTTGGGTCCTAAACCTTTTCGGTTCAAGGCACAATTTACCGGCCCACATTAAAAGCACACGAACACAAGTGTGTATTTGCATATTTGCACTTGAGGAGATGTCGAAGGCTTGAAGACGACGACGTCGTCATCGTCGTCTCTCTCCCGAGCTTTTTCTTGGGGGGCGGGGAGCACCGTATTTTGATTTCTTTGCCACTGGAGGAGACGAAGTTTCAAACCGTAATTTGGAATTTTAAACGTTTAATTTGGCCAAACAACTCATTGCACCCAAACTCTTGTCCTGATGAAGCATCAGTCCTCTCTTGGTTTGTGAGGGCAGAACACATGTAGAGATGGAATAAATATCTGCCAGCTGTGGATAAATACTCGAGGCATTGCTTCGTATTTTCATGCTAACGATTCCTTATGGACATTAAGTAAGTGCTGCATTTCTCAAACTTTTTACATTTTTTTTTTTTATCTTCAACCTGAACAGATCCTGTGAGCAGTTTTAGCAAATTCACCCGTCGACACATTTTGAGTGTTTCCTTGTTTCAGTGTAGCGTACATTTCAGGGACGAGC